ATTAATAGATAATATTGATATTAATATTATTATTAATATATTGAAATCTAATAATACTGAATTTTACTTTTTATTAATACAATATTATTACCAATAGCTTAAAATAGTCTAATTGAGACCCTAAAAAACATACAATCAAGATGTGAAACTTACAATTATTTTACTATTTAATATTTTAATTCTATTTATTATTAATATTTGTATTAATACCATTACATAATTTAATTCAGTTGTATTAATGAGATCTAAATTGAAATTACACTTTTTTTTTGAACATATATATTGAAATTTCTGGAATCACAAAATGAATTGTGATTAATTCATATATATATATATAAATGAATCGATTATGAATGAAAAGTTGGAGAACAAGCAGCTTTGTCATAATTACAGCAGTAATGCTGGAGTAAATATCTTACTTTATGTCTTTGAACATTGTGTTGACCAATGTTCGCCTTCGAGTCTAAAAGGTTGTTAAACCACTGATTTAGTCTCGTAAGGCCACATAATTCAAATATAAACCCCTTTTTGTGTTTGACAGAAGAAATGAAGTCGGATGACTCTGATAGGTTTAGCACATTGATAATCACATCCTCCATCATTCAAGCAGGCTTGTGAATGTGCTGCTTGTTCAGATCTTTATTTCATGACAGTGTGTGTTCAAGACGCTGCCAGAGAACGAGAGCAGAGAGAGAAGGAGACTCAAGTACAGACAGAAGAGACACACACCTGTCTGACCCCAGGATGCCCTGAAACACATGAGAGAGAGCGAGAGAGAGCGAGAGAGAGAGAGAGAGAGAGAGAGCGAAGGAGACTCAAGTACAGACAGAAGAGACACACACCTGTCTGACCCCAGGATGCCCTGAAACACATGAGAGAGAGCGAGAGAGAGCGAGAGAGAGAGAGAGAGAGAGAGAGAAGGAGACTCAAGTACAGACAGAAGAGACACACACCTGTCGAGAGAGAGAGAGAAAGAGAGAGAGAGCGAGAGAGAGAGAGAGAGACACACATTTACAGCGCTTGAGTTCCCTCTAGTGGAGACCAGCTGCTGGACACTGGATGAAGTTTTTCTATTCTATAGTCATTCTGATTTGTGACCCTGGAGCACAAAACCAGTCACAAGGATCAATTTTTCGAATTTGAGATGTATGCATCATCTGAAAGCAGAATAAATAATCTTTCCATTGATGTATGGTTTGTTAGGATCGGACAATATTTGAAAATCTGGAATCTGAGGGTGCAAAAAAATCTAAATATTGAGAAAATCATCTTTAAAGTTGTTCAAATGAAGTTCTTAGCAATGCATATTACTAATCAAACATTAAGTTTTGATATATTTACGGTAGGAGATTTACAAAATATCTTCATGGAACATGATCTGTACTTAATATCCTAATGATTTTTGGCATAAAAGGAAAATCTATAATTTTGACCCATACAATGTATTGTTGGCTATTGCTACAAATATCCCCCAGCGACTTAACACTGCTTTTGTGCTCCAGGGACACATATTTGGCCGACAGAATGCTTGATACTTTATGACAGTCATACTCAGTCGTGCTGTTGTTCTGGAATCACCATGACTGTGATTGGTTCGCTGGTGATCACATGACTGATGTCCAGAACAGCATCATGACTGAATGTTAATTTGTCCTACTTTTTAAATGTATATGCATGTAGCAAATGGCTGCAATATAACAAAGAGTGAAAAATTTAAGGGGGTCTGAATACTTTCCGTACCCACTGTATATCTGCTCTAGATTCAATGTAACAATTGTCATGCCAATAAAGCACATATTGAATTGAATTGAGTGTGATATTGCTTTTATACAACAGCTAATACACAAGTTAAAACTGAGTATCTCACACCAAGACGAATTGCTTGTGTGTGTAAACATACTTGATGTTTAATTTAGCTCCTCATTGAAAACAACTGCAGTAAACAAATGCATTGGTGAACTGGAACTGCTGTATTAAACACCAAATAATAAATAAATAATTAAATCCAAATAAAATGTAATTTAATATTTAATTTACACAATATCGTCTGAAAATCCACTAAAATGATCTGAATTACAAAATAAAAATTTTAAACAATTTTTTTTTTACTAAAATTATACCAAGAAAATGTAATTTAATATTTAATTTACACAATATTTAGGGAAAATACACACACAAAAATCGAATTACTAAAAAAGTATCATTTTTAACTAATTATTTTTACTAAAAATAATATACTAAAAAAATTTAATTTAATATTTTATTTAAACTATTTATTGGAAATTCACTCAAAAATATCTGAATTACCAAAAAAAATAACTAAAGTTTTTACTAAACAAATGATATTGATTACACTTTTATAAATTGTAATTTAATATTTAATTTACATATTTACTGAAAATTCACTCGAAAATACTAAAAAACAACCAAAGTTTTTACTAAACAAATGATACTATTTTTACTTTACAATTTAAACTAAACATTTTATTTAATACTTAATTTCACAATATTTTGTGAAAATGCATACAAAAATATCTGAATTATTAAAAAACTACAAATTGTTTTACTACAATATTTTACTAAATAAATTTACTAATACAATATTTAGTGAAAATACACTCAAAATATCTGAAAAGAAAATATGTGTATTACTCACTGATGAAATTATGCATTTATGTTGACCAATTAACCAATTAGCTAATATATCAGTTGCTCCCTAGACTGATGATAATGCTCCCAAACTTCAAATATTGATGATATTTGTAATCTAATGCTGATGATAAGTGGATATTGCAAAACACAGCAACTGTTCATCACAGATTTACCTGATAATCCATCGCTAATGCGACATTCACGGCACCTGATGTAAAAAAAGACAACACTGCATGGAGAAAACCCATCAGCTGCATCAATGAACATGAGAGAAATTAAGCATCTAAAATTGTGCAAAACCTCTCTTTATTTATTGAGTTCAGCATCAATTCCACCTGTACAACCGCAGTTCATACAGCATGTCTGCTCCACACCAGAAACATCAGAAACCAGATCCAGAGCATCCAAAGACCTGCTGACAGCACTCCTCCTGTCCTTCATCAATTACAGCCTCCATCAGGCCTGCATGTCCAACACAGATCCAGAAGAGAAGGTGCATGAGAGAATCAGTGCAGCACCCTCAAACAAATCATTTAACATTTCTCACAAACGCCAGAGAACCAACAGAATAAAGAGGAACACCAGCAGTCAAACGCTTGGACACAAAACATCTGCTGAAATGACCGATAAAGCAAAAACATACTGTGCAAATGTTTGTTTTTTTTAAAGGAAATTCTCTCTCTCTCTTTCTTCAAAATTGACAATTATTTTTTTATGGAATATCATATAAATGATGTATCCATGCAACACCTGCCAACCTGTCAAATACAGGTGAAAATGAACCATGCCGGTTAACTCACTAGCCATATTGGCAAGTTACGTTCATAATATTACTCAAACAAATCATAAATAAATAAATCTAAAAAAAATCCGAAAAAAACACTAGTAACTAATGGTAACTATTTAACTACGGCTATAGATACACTGTGCAATACATTTACATATGCAATACGTAAATTCAATCATCACAATTTTGTGCACCTTTTCCTCTTGCACATATTTATAATAATTTCTGTATATACATCATTTATACATGTCTGTGATTTCTCTCTTCTCTCTCTCTCTCTCTATATATATATA